CTCCTCAACACCCAAAAAGCAAATAGCCCTATTAAAAAATGGGTGGAGGATATGAACAGACAGTTCTCCAAAAAGAAATTCAGATGGCCAACAGGCACATGAGAAGATGCTCCACATCGCTCATCATCAGAGAAATGCAAATTAAAACCACAATGAGGTATCACCTCACATCAGTTAGGATGACCAACAACCAAAAGACAAACAACAAATGTTGGCAAGGATGTGGAGAAAGGCAAACCCTCCTACGCTGCTGGTGGGAATGTAAAATAAGGTTCAACCATTGTGGACAGCAGTATGGAGGTTCCTCAAAAAACTCAAAATAGAAATATCATTTGACCCCAGAATCCCACTCCTAGGAATTTACCCAAAGAAAACAACTTCTCAGACTCAAATGGACATGTGCACCCCTATGTGTATCACAGCAATGTTTACAATAGCCAAGAGATGGAAGCAACCTAAGTGTCCATCAGTAAATGAATGGATAAAAGAGATGTGGTACAAGATGTGGTACATATACACAATGGAATATTATTCAGTCATAAGAAAGAAACAAATCCTACCATTTGCAACAACATGGATGGAGCTAGAGGGTATTATGCTCAGTGAAATAAGTCAGGCAGAGAAAAACAAATACCAAATGATTTCCCTCATTTGTTGAGTGTAACAACGAAGCAAAACCAAAGGAACAAAAAAGCAGCAGACTCACAGACTCCAAGAAGGGAATAGTGGTTACCAAAGGGGAGGGGTGTGGGAGGGAGGGAGAAGGGGATCATGGGATATCATGACTAGTGCCCCTGGTGTATGTGGGGTCATGGGAAAGACAGTGTAGCTCAGAGAACACAAATAGGGAATCTGTGGCATCTTACTGCACTGATGGACAGTGACTGCAATGGGGTATCGGTGGGGGGGGGACTTGATAATAAGGGTGAATTTAATAACCACCTTGTGTTTCTTGAGAAATCTTCATAAGAGTGTATATCAATGATACCTTAATTAAAAAAAATACATTGAAAGGATCATTCACCATGACCAAGTGGGATTTATCTAGGGATGCAAGGATGGTTCAGTATCTACAAATCAATCAATATGATATATCACAGTAACTAAGGGATAAAAAACATGATCTCCATACATTCTAAAAAATTTTTACATTTAACATCTATTCATGATGAAAACTCTTAACAAAGTGGGTAAAGAGGAAACAGCTCAACATAATAAAGGTGATGTATGACAAACCCTCAGCCAATAAATAACACACTCAATGACAAAAAGGTGAAAGCTTCCTCTAAGATCAGGAACAAGACAAGGATGCATGCTCTCACCACTTTTATTCAACATAGTACTGGAAGTCCTAGCCATAGCAACAGGAAAGGAAAAGAAATAAAAGCATCCACCTTGGTAAGGAAGAAGTAAAATTACTATTTGTAGAAAAACAGGATACCATATATAGAAAATCCTAAACATGCCTTCAAAAATCTATCAGAATTAATTCAGTAAGGTCACACAATACATAATCAATATACAGAAATGTTTCATTTCTATAAACAAATAATGAACTAGGAGAAAGAGAAATTAAGAAATCAATCCCATTTACAACTGCATCAAATAGAATAAAATACCTAGGAACAAAGCTACCCAAAGAAGTGAAAGACCTGCACTCTGAAAACTGTAACACATTGGTGAAAGGAACTGAATAAGACACAAACAAATGGAAAGCTATTTTGTGCTCATGGATAGGAAGAATTAATATTGTTAAACTGTCCACACTTCCCAAAGCAATCTACAGATTCAGTGTGATCCCTATCAAAATACCAATGGCATTTTTCAGTGAACTAAAGCAAACAATCCGAAAATTTGAATGGAACCACAAAAGACCCTGAATATACAAAGCAACCTTGAGAAAGAACAAAGTTTGGGGGTTTTATGCTCCCTGATTTCAACCTATAAGTAATCAAAACCATATGTTACTGGCACAAAAACAGATGCATAGACCAATGAACAGAATAAAAGGCCTAGAAATATACCCACATCTATATTGTCAATTCATACATGACAAAGGAGGCAAGAATATACAATGGGGAAAAGAATCTCTTCAATAAATGGGGTTAGGAAAACTAGCCAGCTACATGTTAAAGAATGCAACTGGATCAGTGTCTTACATCATATAGAAAAATAAACTCAAAATGGATTAAGACCCCTAGAAGAAATATAGGCAGTACACTCTTGGAACATGGACACTAGGAGTTGTTTTCTGGATATGCCTTCCCAGGCAAGGGAAACAAAAACAAATAGGAATACATCAAATTAAAAACCTTCTTCTCTGCAAAGGAAACCATAAACAAAACAAAAAGGCAGCTTACTATATGGGAGAATATATTTGCAAATGATGTTATCTGATAACAGACTAATATCCAAAATATATAAAGAACTCACACAACTAACACTAAAAGAAACTAAATAACTGATTTTAAATGGGCAAAGGAAATGAATATTCATTTTTCCAAAGATGACATACAGATGGCCAAGACACATGAAAAGATGTTCAACATCACTAATCATCAGGGAAATACAAATCAAAGCCACTATGAGATATCACCTCATACCAGCCATAGTGGCTAACATCAAGATAAACAGTAAATGCTGGCAAGGATGTGGAGAAAAGGGAACTCTTGTACATTGCTGGCAGGACTGCAAATTGGTAGAGCCACTATGGAAAGTAGTATGAAGGTTTCTCAAAAAACTAAAAACAGAAATACCATACGACCCAATAATTTGACTACTGAGATTTTATTCAGAGAAAACAAAATCACTAATATGAAAAGATATACGTACTCCTATGCTTATCGCATTATTTACAGCAGCCAAAATATGGAAGCAACCTGAATGTACACTGACAGATAAATGGATACAAAAAATGTAGTGTGTGTGTGTGTGTGTGTGTGTGTGTGTGTGTGTGTGTGTATGTGTGTTGGAATATTACTCAGCCTTAAAAAAGAATGAGATCTTGCCATTTGTGACAACATGGGCCTAAAGGGTATTACACGAAGTGAAAAAAATCAGAGAAAGACAAATACAATATGGTTTCACTTACATGCAGAATCTAAAAAAGACAGCCAAACAAAACAAAAACAGATTCACAGACATAGAGAACAGACTGTTGCCAAAGGGGATGGTGGGGAATGGGTGAAATAGGTGAAAAAATTAGTGACAATGTTTCATTTACTTTTGATTTAAAAAATAAAGTCATGGGTCTTTTAAAAGGAACTTTAACATTTAAAGATTGATATTAAAAATTCTTATTCAATTTTTATATGAGTGAAAGAATATAGTATATAGAAAAGTTGTAGGCGAAAGGGAAGTGACATCTATTAATCTTAGCCTGATCTTTAAACTGCTATAACACAGAGAAATATGATTCCTAATAATAAAGTGAGGTTTAATTTTATGTACCTATATTACTTTTAGATATCTATAATTTATAAATACATGTAAGTTTATACTTTCATAAATTTGGTATTTTATACATGGCAGACTATGAGATGTCAACCAATCCTAATCTCTCATTATGTGTAGTTATTACATAATTCTGCAATTAGAGCTCAGCTAATGCTTGTCCAGTTCTTCTCAGCTGAACCAGCACTTCTTATATTTTTTATTTTGCCTCAGTACTGTAGTTCTTAACCATTTTGGAGTCACAGATCCCTTTGAGGTAGTAATGAAAGTCACAGACCTACACCCCAGAGAATACATATATATATACACATCATACATGTTACACAAAATGTCAAGGAGTTTGTGGACCTCAGGTTAACGAATCTTACCTTGGTGACTTACGTCATATCAACTACATAATACATCTACATGTAAATTATCAATACATATTTGCCAAGCATAAAATATAACTAACAACACGGTACCTGGCTCTCATTATTCAGTAAAAAACAACAGTTCATATATATAAGCAAGTGTCAAACCAGTGACTGAGACCATGTGCTTTAGGAGTTCAGAGGCAGTAAAGACAAACGCAGACAAAGATGATCTAGGAAGAGTTCCTCCAGCGGGCAGAGCATCTCAGAGTAGAAGAGGAGGGGCTAAAATGTCAATGTCAAAAAGTGGGAGGGTAGCCTGGAGAAAGGTGTAAACAGCCGGTAAGATGGGGGAGATGGGGGAGATGGGGTCGAGGACTGGGAGGGGCCAGAGAAGCCAGGATGCTGTAAATGGTGGAGTAGGTGGACCAAAGGAGAAAGCAAGTGAAGCGACTTCACTCCTTGGAGCCTTGTTTTTAACTTTACCTCCACCAACAAAAATTGGCAGTATCAGAAATGTCAAATAACCATCAGCCATAAAACTAATGGGGCCAGCGATACATCTCTAGGTTTTCATCAGATGGTCAAGAAGCCAGAATAAATCCCATCTGTGCCTCTAGACGTGGAAATATAAACCTAGCTGCTCCACACTTTCATTTAAACAACGTAACTCTGCTTTTAATTCCTTACACACACCATGCTATTCTTGCCTCTCTGCCTTAACTCAAGATGTGTCCTCTTCTAGGAAAGCCTTTCTTTTCCTGACAAAAATTCAGTTCAGACATTAGCTCTTTCAGTAACTTCTGATGCTCCTCGCCACGAAACCAGGCAGGCCTCTTGCCACCACCAGAGCCCCTCAGTGTATGAAAGCGATCTGTTCCCCAGGGTATCTCCCTCCGTGGGCAGACATTATCTGGCTTACCATTACATGCCCCACGCATAGCTGTAGCTGTGCTGTCCTGAAACGCCAGCACGTGCCTTCCTATGACAGCTGACCTTGCTCCAACGTGCCCTCCAGAGCCATGTTTCCAGAACTTGGCATCAGGGTATTCTCTTCCTTACAAAAAATCAGCACTATGGTGTATTATTGGAGGTGAGGGCATCAGTGGGCTTTGTAACCACATACAATGTCTAAATACTGAGGCCTCCATGCCTGTAACTGCAGCACACGCTGCCCACACTTTTCCAGCATCCTTACCTTGCAGGCTTTGGCTGCTGGAGCCCACGGTCTGCTGGTCCCGTCTTGGGCCCAAGGTGCAGGCTGTCATCAAACCACCAGAGGAGAGTCTCATGGCCTGCAGCCTCAGAAGTCACTGGGTGCTCTGCTTCAGTGAGACCTTTGATGGAAAACAAAACCCATCAGTCATTCCATCCTCTTGCTTTATTTTCTTCACAGCATTTCACACTGTCTGAATTCTAATTGTGACTTCCTTACCTTTTATGTAACTTTTTTTTTCACATAAAGATTGTTCTTAGTTTTAATGTACTTCAGACGGGAAGACAACTTTCTTACTGTTTTCCTTTTCTTCTTTTTTATCCTTAAAGGAAGATTCTCTGGATCACATTTCAGACATGGAAGAAGTTTACAAAATTGACGAAAGAGGAAAGAGTAAAAGAAGAACGGCGAGAGCAGCTCCGTCGGAAGGTAGCAGAAATCCTCCCCGACTTCCAGATGTCCCCAGCACCACGACCCTTACTTGCACCAGCGATTAGCTCCTTGACCATCATGTAGAGGGGCCCTTGGTGTGCCAGTGGCCACGAACCAGTGCACTGCCTAGAATGGGCCGTACCGGTGTTACCTCCCCCACCCAGACACGTGCATAGACCTGTTTTATGTTCTCTCAGATACTTCAGGGATCAAAGGAATTATTAGGGGAATTTGTATTTCCCTCTTTGACTTTTGTTGGATTGCTAATCAGTTCACTAAAGCACTTATCACAGTGGGGTCATCCAAAGGAACAATCTAGAGCTCAACTGTTCAAATGTATCTTACAGATTTTAGCATCATAAACTTTTTTTTTTCAGCTGAATGTATTTTTTTTTAATTAAGGTATCACTGATATACAATAAAGGTTTCACATGAAAACCATTGTGGTTACTACATTCACCCATATTATCAAGTCCCCCCCACCACCCCATTGCAGTCACTGTCCATCAGCATAGTAAGAGCATCGTAAACTTTAACAGAGGACAGGTGTTTGCTTGCCTGAGCCTGTGAAGGAAAATGTGTCCTTACAGCTTAATGTTGAGTTGTGGACAAATACAATTTTAATTAAATAGAAATTAAAAGTAATGAGTACTTAGAAAAGGAGTCACAGGTGATTGGTCATCTAATATCATAGCATTAGCAACAGGCATTCTGCCAGACCCCATCCCTTTTTGCCCACTCTGACAGAAAACCACTTATCAAAAGGTACTCTGTTTCACACTGCAAAGTGTACTGGCATATCTAAACTTCACAGAAACTGGGGCACCAAAGATACTTCTTCAGTGCACTCCAATAAGCAGGAAGGGAATTCCAAAAGCTCATGACCCTCAGAGGCACTTACCAGAGCAATTCGTTAAAATATCTGTCCGTGCTCCCAGTTGCCGCTTCAAAATTATACATTTGTTCTGTCTTCCAGTCCTCAGCTCAGTTTGGTCCATACATGAACATACTACCTTGAATTCGAAGAGTTTTAATCTTTAAGGTGCTAAAGACCATAAAGACTGCCAAAATGCTCCCTTCTGTGGAACTGTCTGAGAGTATTACCTGCTAGAAAAAAATTGTTTCATTACAAAATATAAATTATAATTTGTATAACAACAAATTCAAGTAGTAGATAAATGCACACAGTAAAGCAAGTAAATTCTTTGCAGCCCTGAGGTAACTACTATTATTTGGTGAGTTAGAAATGAGTTGGTGAAATAAAATTGTTTGTTGTTCAATAAATTGTTATTGTCTCTTACTTCCTAGAAAGGTTATCCAGCTACCCTACCTGCAAAATGACATCCTTTTTCTATAGATGTGTGATGATTTACTTAAATACGAAACTGAACTTATTTCCACAATGTTCCTGTCCCACAGTTTTTCCTTTAATATTATACAGTTGTCACCTAACAACTCTCTTAACACTAATGCCCAGTAAGAAAATGGGACTAAATATTTAAATCTCTTTCCATCTAGATCACTGTTTATACTTACCTATAGCAGTTATAGAATATTGGCTAATAATAGTGCCCAGAAATCAAACTCCAATTTTATTTTCATGCCAAGCCTATAGATAAGGAAGGGTGTATCCCTTAAGTAAACATGCCAGGGACCTAAATAAATCCCATAAACCCTAAGTTTTCTCTCTTATGTTTTATTTTTATTTCACCTCAAGCATCAATTAAAAACTGAGTCTTTAGCAGCCCATATTCTGACTGGGTCAGCGAGCAATTTTTACTTATAGAACCTTCTAAAGAAATAGGTAAATAACTTAGTAAGTGATCTAAGTTTCTTGCTGGACTATCCCAAACATATGATGTGATATGTAACTACTAACAAAATGCCCAGATGCTACAAAACTAGCAAAGTAACCACCAGGAAAGTGACAGTTTAGAGTGAGGGACAGTTTAGGTCCACAGGATTGGAACATCTAGGTAGTCAAAGAGGCGGCAGCCCAGCTATAATGCAGGCTTTTCTTAGAGCAAGAGTTCAGGAGCCATAGCAAGAAACACCAATTATTTTCCTGAAAGAAAGCACTTTATTTTCCATTTAAGCAACTCGGTCACAGTACATTACATAAATGGCAGTAATTTTTGAAGTCTCCATTTAAAAGGCCTGTGTCTGAATCTGAGGTGATATGCATACAGGTATAAAAACAGTGCAAAATGTCTAGCCCATAGCCTCCAGAGTTGGCTTCAGAAATCCCCTTAAATGCTGCTGGGCCAGTTACATTAAATACTAAATTCAGTATTAAATAAATATTCCTAAGTTTCCTTTAATCTAACATCAGATCCACAAATGTAATCATATGAAAAGGCTTGAAAGCCCCAACAACTCAAAAACAGCCAATCGCCCAGACCACAGGATCACAAGTTGAGCTTGCAAGGTCAGTGACATGGAGTGGCACCATGGGAAGAAATATTGCATCAATAACTAGAATATACTAGCTCTGGTTTTAAAGCTTTGCCTTTTAAGTATGAGTTTTTCAGAAGTGAAAGGTGCCACTGGGAAGGCTAAAGTAGTCATAAGTCACAAGCCTAACCTGGAAATAGCCACAACCTTAAGAAATTTGTCTCCATTAACTACTCAGTCTTTGGGCTGCTGCTACTACAGGGAAACAGTGTGCTTGAGGTGAGGATAACTGTCCATCAGCTACAGTATTAAATTTAGCTGATTTTGCTAGAAGTTAATATTAATCACGGCAAACATCCACAAGAACATACTGAATTTTATTCAGTGTTAAGTTGAACATAGCCCTCATTCTCCCCTGCATCACCTCTGCAAAGTTGAATATAAGGTGGCACATTTTTCAAGCTGCTGATGAGAAAACCAGATTCCAAGTAAGTGCCTCAGAAAAGTCTCATTCATTGCTTGTTTGAAGAAATTCTCCTTTTTAAAATGCAGGGTACCAAAATACAGCTAAAATGAAATTAAGTCATATAAACCTTATGACTTCACTAGTTTAAGAGACCTTTAAACCTTACAAAGCATTTAATTTTTAAACATCCTGGTTAAAACTGTGCTTCCAGAGATCATATTTTTGCCTATATTAATTTTATAATAAAAAGCTCATGTCCTATCCAAAGGCAACATAGTCTATTCAGCAGATAGTCAGTATTAACAGAGAACCTTAACTGGCATTGTGTTTTCTGGCAGTGGAAGATTCTAGTATAGAAAATTTTCTCTTGCTAAAATATTACAAGTACCAAGGACAGCTGCATAAGAGAAAGTTTGTAGCAGTCTCTGCTAGGCAGATGGTACAATGGAAGACAGCAATTATTTCATTCACAAAAGAAAAACACTACTGGAATAGCAAAAGATTTACAGTATCCTTAACACACATGGGTGGCTGAGGAGAGATGAGCAGCACAAGGTCCCTAAAACACACTTAAGGCTTGATGTAAGCAGCATCGGGGAAACCCACCGAAAAAGGTGTTGTTAGTGGTCAGTTTGTTTCAGGTGGGCCCAGCTACCGCCACAAAGTACTCTTTGGGTATCCTAAGAAACATTTTAAATATTGAAGGATTTTTCCCTTTCTTTCATGCAATCCTGATCCTTGACTGTCTCTCCCTTGAATCCAAGTGCATCCATTTCTCTTCCCCAGAATAGCCCAACAATTGCATGACAGTAACGTAAGTGGTGAGAATAGACCAGAGCACTTAGAGAGCTCCACAACCAGTATGTCTGTTAACAGAGCTTGAGGACGGGGGGAAGAAGGGGACCCACTGTTTGGAATTATGATGGGGAGGGAGGTTTGCTCCTATGACCAAAAGACTGCTGGCTTATAGGTCTACAAGACACTTCCCCATGGCCACCACCACCAAACGTTTCTCTTGGGACTCATTCATTCACAGAGCCCTTGCCCTTTAAAGGAACAAAAATCCTTCAAATAAGTCCAGATCATAAAAATGTTTAAGAGTCCAAGAGTACAGACCAAGGATATCCAGAGCTAACAGAAACACTGCTCACAGACAGCCCCTTATTTGCTGCAAACAGGCTTCTCCTCTAAAAGAAAAACCCACCCAGATTTTCAAAGGTTTGAGCTTTCTTTTGTAAACTGCCAATCATGAAGTTCTCAAAGAACTTAAAGCAAGCATCTCAATTCTGATACGCCAGAAGAGACAAGGAGTCCTTATCTAAGTGAGGGAACTGAGTTGCCCCATGCCAGGAACCCTGTCAATGGTGTGTTGTTAGAAAGGTGGCAATCATCCCGAATTCTCCCACAGGACTGGTCCTTGCCACATATTTGGACTGTTGTTAAAGATTTGGCAAGAGGCTAAAATTATTGACCATATAACATTTCTATGTATTTTATTATCAGTGGGTAGACAGAGTTGGCTATACATGTGGCATTCAAGAGACTACAGCTACAAATAGAGTCCAGATATTAACCCAAACATATATGATCAATTAATATATGATAAAGGAGCAATGGACATACAATGGACAAATAACAGCCTCTTCAACAGCTGGTGTTGGCAAAACTGGACAGCTACATGTAAGAGAATGAAACTGGATCATTGTCTAACCTCATACACAAAAGTAAATTCAAAATGAATCAAAGACCTGAATGTAAGTTATGAAACCATAAAACTCTTAGAAAAAAACACAGGCAAAAATCTCTTGGACATAAACATGAGCAACTTCTTCATGAACATATCTCCCCAGGCAAGGGAAACAAAAGCAAAAATGAACAAGTGGGACTATATCAAGCTGAAAAGCTTCTGTATAGCAAAGGACACCATCAATAGAACAAAAAGGCATCCTACAGTATGGGAGAATATATTCATAAATGACAGATCCAAAAAAGGGTTGGTATCTAAAATATATAAAGAGCTCACACACCTCAACAAACAAAAAGCAAATAATCCAATTAAAAAATGGGCACAGCATCTGAACAGACAGTTCTCCAAAGAAGAAATTCAGATGGCCAACAGACACATGAAAAGATGCTCCACATCGCAAATCATCAGAGAAATGCAAATTAAAACCACAATGAGGTACCACCTCACACCAGTAAGGATGGTCAGCATCCAAAAGACAAACAAGAACAAATGTTGGCAAGGATGTGGAGAAAGGGGAACCCTCCTACATTGCTGGTGGGAATGTAAATTAGTTCAACTGTTGTGGAAAGCAGTATGGAAGTTCCTCAAAAAACTCAAAATAGAAATACCATTCTACTCCTAGGAATTTACCCTAAGAATGCAGCACCCCGGTTTGAAAAAGACATATGCACCCCTATGTTTATTGTAGCACTATTTACAATAGCCAAGAAATGGAAGCAACCTAAGTGTCCATCAATAGATGGATGGATAAAGAAGATGTGGTACATATACACAATGGAATATTATTCACCCATAAGAAGAAAACAAATCCTACCATTTGCAACAACATGGATGGAGCTGGAGCTCAGTGAAATAAGCCAGGTGGAAAAAGACAAGTATCAAATGATTTCACTCATCTGTGGAGTATAAGAACAAAGAAAAAACTGAAGGAACAAAACAGCAGCAGAATCACAGAACCCCAAGAATGGACTAAGTTACCAAAGGGAAAGGGACTGGAGAGGATGGGTGGGAAGGGAGGGATAAGGGGGGAAAAAAGGGGCATTACTATTAGCAGACATAATGTGGGGGGGGGGGCACGGGGAAGGCTGTACAACACAGAGAAAACAAGTAGTGATTCGATAGCATCTTACTGCACTAATGGACAGTGACTGTAATGGGGTATGTGGGGGGGACTTGGTGATGGGGGTAGTCTAGTAAACATGTTATTCAAGTAATTGTAGATTAATGATACCAAAACTACAAAAAAACTACAGCTAGAGATGTCTGGCCATGTGATGTCCCTGACATTATTACTTTTCCTCATTTCAAACCTATACGGAAAGGAATTGGCTATACAGATCCAACATTAATCCCAGATGAATGCACACCTCTGGGCCACAGAGAGGGCATCACGGTAGGAACCAGACTCAATAACATCCCCAGACTTGCTCTTTGGCTCTTCCCAGTGGCATACGGAGTCTATCGTTCATTAAACGTTCCGTCTCTGAGGAGAGCAACGACGAGCAGCCTCAATTAATGGCAGGATTAGGGATGGTGCTAGCTGCAGAGGGTAGATGGAGTTGTAGGAAGTAGCAATATTCACTCTCAACATTTACAAACCTCTTTTATACTGCAGCATGCAGAAAAAGACTGAAAAAGCTGGCAATATTCTCCCAAAAGAGGCTATAAACCAAGGCAAATTGAAGGGCTCATGAATTATCCTTGGGAGTGCAAAAAAGTGCATGTCCCAAACCAGATATTTCAAGAGGGCTTTCTTGTTAACCGAAGTTGCTTCATCTTAATTCTATGGCAGAATAGACTCATTCTATATATTTACATTTTCAGTTTTGAAATATGATCAAAGAAACAACTAATTTTAGGAAGAGCTAGGGAAGAAGAGTAACACATTAATTAGTAGAAACTCCATATACCATGTTTTTTCTCTCCTAGTGAGATACTTTTATCTAGGGAAAGGTAAATGAAAAGTAATGTGCAAGTAAAGTGGGAAGGCGTCAATCAACCCCTCAAAGAGTTTATGCCAGAATGGTTTATGCAACTTAGTGCTGTAACTGACAGCATTTTGAATTACTTACATGAATAAAAAAAAAAAATCAAGCCCATGATAGGAGCCAGCTACCCTACCCAGGAAAGAGAGTAAAGTGTTCCCCATAGGAGTATCTGTGCCCTTCCAGCCATTGTCACAAGGGCGCTAGCACCTTACTAGGTATAACATGGAAGGAGGGAAACAAGATTGATGCCTATGGAGTTATTCAGAGTAAATCCAGAGTAAGTATGTAAGAAATAAGATAAATCTAAGACCTCACCATTTAAACTCATGGACCAATATACATCATAGTTACTGTGGTAACTGTTATCAACTGTCTTTTCAAGATCAGATGATAGCATAAACCCATCTGGTTGTCTTCTGCCCTGTTGGAGCAGGTGATGTCTAACACTTCAGACCGGCAAAGTCCTACAATTGTACACCATGGTACTTGAGCATCTTTTTTCACTCTCAAATGCTGAAAACTGATGTTACTCCAATAAAACTGGCTTCAATATTCCAACCTACACAAGCTGTTCTCAGTCTTAGGATTGTCCTAGTAGTACTTCCTCCCTCTCTGGTACTCCAGTGCCTCCGTGCCTTCCGCAGACCTCCTCCTTCACAGGACGCTCACGGCTGCTCTGGAAGGCAAACAGAGCGGGCACAGGGTACCCCACTTCACAGACGAACCTGAGACTCGGGAAGTGACTCGACTAAGGGTCACATGGCTATTAGAAATGGAAGGAGGGACTAGACACTATTCAAATCCACAGCTCCCCCATTCTAACGGACAGAAACTGCTTCTATGAATTTGTGCAATAGCAATGTACATCCTTTTCAAGTTCTTGTGATTTAGTTAACAAGGAGACTAGAAAGGAATGGCTCTAATTTTACTGCTCCAATATAAAAATCTCTTAAATTGTGAAGTCAGGAAAATCAATTTCTTCCCAGTCCAGTGTCTAAACCTGAGCATGGCCCTACAGTGCCTTTAAGAACCCGGGGATAAGAACGAACATCCCACGTGGACACTGATGTATACAGTGCAGGGAGCAGAGGGAGGAGCCGTCCAGAAGGCACTTCAGACAATGTCCTCAGCAGGGTGCTGGAATGGGCGGGTGCCCAGGGTGGAGAACTGGTGCCAGTTCCGCAGGAAGCCCCTATTGTACTGGCCTGTGTCCACGATGAGCCCGCAGAGGAGCCTGCGCCCTGTCTTCTGCCGAAGGGCCTGCTGGACTTCCCTCTCGGTGATGTTGTAACTGATGTTTATCAGCTGGATCAGGAAGATGTAGGCCATGCCCGCTGTGATGATCACAGAGTACCACACGCAGGTGAAGGACAGGGCCGAGCTGGGAGGGGAAGAGGGTGGGTCAGGACTGCTGGTTTCTTCACATTAAAAGGCTGTCCCATTCTAACAGTTTACACATGTACTATGTTTCACCAAGCACTGGAGCACCTTCCCCAGTTATCCCAACTAGAAGATACTTTTCTATCTTTAGAACACCACCTGCTTAACTTATGACTATTAGCACATCCTGTTTTATTTTGTAATTCTTAGTGCCTCTTCTCCTAGTCTGTTGTGCCATAATAGCAAGGACTGTTTTATGCATCTTGTATCCCCAACACGGTGCCTATCAAAATCTGTTTGTTGAATTGAATTATTCCTAAATTGTTCCTAACTCAGGAGAAAATGAAGGCGCCATGAGTTTGCTATAAACGTCCTCAAGGAAGGTGTGGGTGGGAACCCAGAAACACTGCTGATGTTATTAATTTCCACTGTCTTCATACAATGCTGATGAACACAAGTAAGAGGACCGCTCCCAACACTACAGGTCTTTTACCTGTAACATCTGTAGGTGCACCATCCCATTTCAGACTCAGCTTCTTAAAGCCCAACAGAATCACACAGGGCAAGACGGCTCCTTTCAGCTCGCTCCTAAGACTCTGAGGAAAGGCTGCTGGTTCATGTCTGCCAACTGACTGTTTTCACTCAAACATCTGCAGACGAAGAACTGACTGGAAATAGGCCCATTCAGAATCTTCAGTAAGCCGTCAGGCACCTCAGAGATGACTGACTCCTCATAAAGAGGAGGTTTTCCATAAAGATGAGGAAAACCAGGGCCCTGTTTGGGGTGGTAAGGATCAATGGCAAGGGACCTCTGCACTGAGACGGTCACCAACCCCACCGGTCCTGAAGAATTTCACAGCCTCCTAGGCCTCTCAACAGAGAAGAGGAACTCACCCTGAGCAGGAGGACCAATCTGTTCTAATAACGTCCACAAATGTTTAGATTCGTAATGGCAACGGGCAGACCTGTCCTGAGACTAACAAAAACAAACACCAGCACACTGCACACAGGCATTATGGGGACAGAGGAGGAGCCCTTCTGAAACAAGGAGAGAAGAAAAGGACCATGGGCACCAAGCTCCTGACTCAGACTGGGGACCACAGGGACCACAGAGCACCCACGGCAGAGGATACAGGTAGAGAGGGACAATGGGCAGAGAGAGCCCATGGTATTCATTCAGGGCAGGGACTGGGGACCAGGCGGAAACACCCAGCTTCCGACAAAGCCTGGAGAGCGTCACAGTATACAAATGGGCCCCAACCTAACAATGCAGAAGGAAACTCTGACCTAGATCCCACATAATCACGAGTGGGGATTTTAAAAAAGTGAAACAAGAAAAACGAATGAAGTTTAAAAAGAAAAGAAAGGTTAGAGAGATTTGTGAACTGACCACCAAAGGGTTAGAAGCAGTTAATATTGGGGTAAAAAGCACCAGAAAGCCATAATAAAGTGAGGAGTCCCTGATACCACAACACAGACCACGTCCATACCGCTGGGACTGCTAGTCCACTGTTATAGTTTCACCACCAGGACCATGGGCATGCACGTGGTCACACGGTCTGGGAAGTCCCTGAGTAAGTCTGGACCTACTTGTAAGAGTACTGATTCCTCACTTTTTAAGGACCCACGATCCTTTGGCCATCACCCTAGAAATATGCACCTAGCCACTTCGTTGAGCATTTCAGGGATCCCCCTATGTTTTGGTTGAGAACTCCTAACCTAGTAGCAAATCATCCCTGACGCTAGTGGCTACGCCCATCTGCCCTCCTCCGTAGGCCTCTGTGCCGTGGCGCCCACACCTCACCTGTCATTTGCATAAACTCCAGGACAATAGAAGAGTGCTGTGAAGACGCTTCTATCTCTACAAATGGTGTCCAAGGTCAGCGTTATCCCGTACACCGAGGTGAACAAGAAGATCGAAAGGGCAAGTATAAATGCTTGATGATTTGATTCTCCAACACAGCTATTTATCCTCAAAACAGCATGGGGGGGAAAAAAAGCAGACATGTTTTAACAAGTTCTCAATACAGATGGTAGCTAGACTTACCGTGGTGCTCACTTGGTAATGCAGATAATTGATGGTCACTACACTGTACATCTGAAACTAATATTGTATATCAACCACATTGCGATAAAGAAATGTTCTCTACATAACTCCTGTAATAAACAAGAAAGCTTTTACAACAGGGAAAATGGGAATTTCAGCTACTAAAAAGTTCTATTTTTCAATTTTAGCGAATTAAAAACATGTCCTTTGAGAGATGTATGCAGTCTTACATTCTCTGCTCTTTCCAAAGTGTAATCATGTCATTAGTTTAAGGAAAGACTAAGTAAAGAGCAAAATCCAACTTACAAATCTTTCTGAAGAGTAATAAGTGATGTCTGTTACCCATCTACGAAGAGAGTTAATATTGTAACCACCATGATAAGGAAAGGGTGGTATCAGAGTCATGAAAAGTTAAAAATGATAAGTGGGAAGAATTTACACAGTATGGGAAACTGTATATTAAATAAGATATTAATATAAAGACCCCAAAGGGTTAGAAAGTGTGTGGAGTGGAGGCCAACTTGGTAACAGCAGACTACTTGTCAGGTAAAAGGAATCCTGTGTCACAGCCACTTGCAAGGCAGAATACACCAGCACCTCCTCTGCCCTCCACACAAAGGGACGCCCCATGGGCAGGGATCATTCAGGAAAGGCTGTGAGGCCCTGCACAAACCACACGTGTAAATGGGCCACCACATACACACACAAATACACGTACACACACATGAATAAATGACAAAGACACAGACGGGGAAAATCTAAAAATGAAAATACCTATTTACTCGCAAAGACAAAAGAGCTGTCCCTCTGCTTGAGCCCTATACTTGAGGTCCATTCCAAGGCCCTCTTGGCCTTTCTGCACCTGCCCCTCCCCTATGTCCCTTCTGAAAGGGAGGGATGCTACATAACCAGGATCCTAGGTCTAAACGGCTAATTCACTGGTCACAATTGCCTTAGGAGCAATACTGTTGCAAACTTGCTCCTTAGGGCATTCACACCTGAGTTAACTAAACCCCGTTTAGGTTAGATTACTCAGCAAAGCTTTAACATTATCTTTAGAAGTTGCATTTTGTATCTTATGGGCCTTCTATGTCCTCATTTGTCACTGGTCAGCTGGCAAGTACAAAAACTGTCCATCTCTCCACAAATAAATAGGGAGTTATCTGGAAGGGCCTTAACTCAATAATGTAGACTAAAAACCACTGACAGCATCAAAATGATTAAGGATGTAGGGTGAGAGGACAGAGTCACCTAAAAATACAGGAACACTTTCTGAACTCTGTGTTCAAAAGGTAAAGCCCAGGGAAATAGGCCTAAACTGACTCTAATAAATTCTTTCTTAAAAGATCATTCAACTGTAGATACCTCTCTTTTAGATAAGAGAAGATAAATGAGGGGCAGCTCAAAACAGAATAGCAAACTAGCAGGAAAAAAAAAACCTTCAGGAAATGACTGAAGGACCTAAATTCGGGAAACTCAAAAAACTGATGACTAACTGGGAACACCCTAACAGCCTGCAAATATCTACAAGGTGTAAAGCTGGGGAGGAGAGACATTTTAGGATGGCACAAAGGACAAGAAAATCAAACACGGCTAGTCTCATGTGAATGTATACTTCGCAACCTTCCACATTTTCCTGACATACCAGACACAGTGATGATCCATTCTCTTCACACAGATGCCACATATCCGGCAGTGCCACGCGCGGGCCGGTCGCACCAGCTGGCACTTGGCGCACCAGTCGTCCTTCGCCCTGGTGGGGCTTCCAGCCAGCGTCTTAGGAGAGCCCTGAAGCTCAGCCTTCAGAGCGCGGTTGCTGAGGCTGCCCAGGGCTTCCGCACTGGGGAACCCTTTGGTCTTCTCCTGCCCTTCGCTGCTCGGGCATTCGGTTTGGCTGCTGCTTTGAGACTTGTCACTGCTGGCTGCACTTCTGAGGTAGCCTGGATTCTTCTTGGCTCTGTACAAGGCTAAGAGTATCAGAAATAACCCGCAGGTAAGGAGAGCCAGCTGGGCAGGCCCCACACGCCCTTTGGGGACCACTTCCTGCAAGAACACATAGTACATGTAGCCCAGAGAGAACAGTCCAAGGCTCAAGAAAAACAGAGTCTGCTCCTTCCTTCTGTGAGTGAGGTAGTAGTACCACAGAGCCAGCACAGGGAGGGAGGTCAGGACCACCGCCCCCAGCAGGAAGTGCCAGGAAGCCACGCGGAGGAAGACGGGCAGCAGGATGAGTGGGGGGAGGATGCTAATGTTAACTTTTTTGGCTCCCCTAAGCCAAGGAATTCGGAGGCGATCAGAGATGGTGTCCATGATTCTTTCACAAGTCTCCGGCTGCACAGACTTACATGTAACCCACCTATTCAGAAAGAACACAAAGGAAGGTCATGACTTGTGGGTTTGCTGACTTAGAAACCACTGAGTATTGGAGGCCACATAGCAAGAAAACCGTTGAGAGGCCAAAAGCCAAGTACTCCACTCCCTCACTACTTAACACAGCTCTTCAGGTTCACAGGCCATCTTTTAATACAAACGAGAAGAAAATATTTAGAAATTGAACAGGTAAAACTATTTCATTATAAAACAAATACATACGAATACACATTCCAGACAAGTACTATTTAGACTAAGATGGGTATACAGACTAGATTCTCAAAAATATCCACAATCTAGTTGTGAGGACAACATGGGATTTCAAGAACTATTAGACAAGTAGCCAAAGCAGCAAAATCATCCAATAAACTATTATGGTCAAAGGCGGTGAGGAGCACTCAGAGCAGAGGTCCACTCCTGGGTGGGGTCATTAAAAGGGTCTTTGTGCAGAAGGTGGGAGCTCCACTCAATCTTGACAGCTGGCCAGCATTGCTAAGGGAGAGGAGGAGGGAGAGACATGTGTGCAGCACAAAGCTGCCCTGGGCCCAGGATGCCAACCAGGCTCACAGGGGCGGAGGGCTGCCTAAGGAAGGGTGCAGATCAAACTAGTATGAGTCAATTGACTGAGCTTCCCAGACACATGGTATTTGTTGACTTTTTCCACACTTAGGCTAGATGGAAGGCACAGTTTAAGGAAATGATAACTTTGTAGACAGACAATTTTAAAAGGCTAGAACTTGGAAGTAAGGGGAAGATCGCTACGTGGGAGTCATACGAAGCAGCAGGACAATGGCACTACTGGGAGCCTGTCTCCAGAGAAGAGTTTGGAGAGCAGGGGAGAGAGCTCAGGAACAGCCCAGGTCTCAGGGGCCAGGAGGAAGAGTTGGGTTCATGGAGGAGCTGGGGCCTGGGGGCCTGGGGGTTATGGAGACAGCACCACCTCTCCGTTGTTAGTGCAGAGTATGCCATTTTCTCAGGATGAACTTTAGTCTGAGCCTAAGAAGCTATTTTAAAGACACCTGTAGAAAAAAGACTAGACACTGTCAAGGAAGAGTTACAAGGGGCTCTGGAATCTTCAGAAGTCACAGTTGGCACCAGACCACAGAGGTCCCCAAGACTACTTTTCACTGCTAGATTAACACATCAAGCTGGAGGTCAGAAATCTGCAACTGTGATGTTTTTTTACACTGATGTGCTTATTAATGGGAGAAGCCTTTCCAACATCCTTATTCTTCCTATATTATGTTTTCCATATGACAATTTTTACATACATATTTATTTAGAAAATGGATAAAAACCAGGTTATTACTGTTTGGTATAAAATTTTTCTGGTAATGTACCTTTTTGGATGCTGATTTCCAATACTCGGGATGATGATGAAAATAAAAGCTAAATACAGTATCATCAATCAAGACAGTGTTGCTCACGCTCAAAACAGACAGTCCAAGGGAGGGACAGGCCTTCTGGCTGGACTTCCTCCCCAGAAACAAGGGGTGAGACCACTTTCAACACCAGGAAAATGATCTTTCAATCCTCAGAACCCTCTGTGATTAGGTGTAGTCCAGGGATGCATCTCTAAATACTGAGACCACAGTATTTAGGAATGTAGGAACTTTCTAGTACTAATGCATTCATTTTAAACCTACAGATTCTGCTGGCTTTCATTTCCTTTCCTTCTACATTTAACTTGCACTATCCCTTTATCCGCCTGCTCTCTCCATTCACCTCCCTTTAAATGAAAAATAATACTGTCCTAGTAAACTGAGCTCAACAGTCGTGCTCTACAGAGTCTTTGTAAAATCCTCACACGTGACACAGAAGAAAACTCTTAAATTTTAGATCCTTGGAGGTAGACTCAAGAACAAATTCTTGATTCTGGATGGCTAAACTGTGGGTTCTTGATGGTTAAGCTGAAAGTACCCATGGCAGTTCTCAAAAGCGCCAGCGGGGTCAGCACCGGGAGCCGCGCCGCGCTCACCTCTCACACCCTTCGTCGAGATCCTGGCAGTCGCACAGGCAAGCAGCCACGTGGTTCTTCTCCCCGTTTCGATCTACGTACTCGCAGCAGCACAGGGGCTCCAATTCAGGTTCGTCCGCTTTGTTTTTCTTCACTGGCTTCATACCGCCCTTCGGTGTCATGATCGCCACCTGTCACCGTGAGGCGTGAGAAGCCCTCAGAAGGTAAAGGTGGAAATAACACGACTCACATCTTGTATCAATATCCACGCCTCTATAAACAGCCACCGCCTGAGAAACCAGAAATGAGAAGAGGGGGGAAGGGGTCCCGTCCTCATCAGGCTTTTCTGGCTCGGCTTCCGGACGGGAGCTGCCGGGGCGTGGCGCCGCCTGCACCTGCACAGCCCCCTCCCGGCCAGGGCAGACGCCGTCCGGGCCGGCCGCTCCCAAGGCGCCAGCCGACCGCGCGGCGCGGGACAGCCGGCGCGCGGACGTCCGTCCTCACCTGCGGGTGCACCTCCGGGTGCGCCTGCAGACGACCGCGCGGTCCTGCCCGAAGCCCGGCGCGGGGGCAACTCACCCTCGGGGCTGCGAGCGGAGGGAAGCGTGTGCGAGGGGCCGACGGACGCGCCGCGGCTGGTCGGGACCCCGGCTCGTGGAGACCAAACGGAGAGGGGCCCCGGCCGCGCTCGGCGTCGCCGTCCCACCGGCGGCCGCAGCTCCCGCGTCCCGCGCCTCTCGCGCCCCCGCCAATCGTGAGGTCGTGGGCGGGCCCCGCGCGCAGCCCCGCCCGAAGAATGACCTTGGCGAGGAAGTTACCTGCGCTCCGGGTCGAGGTGCGGCTGCAGCCACGAAGGCCGAGGCGGAGGCGAGAAGGGTCGCTTCCCCCGGCGGCGCGGACGCGTCTCCCGGCTCCGCGCAGCTGCGCCCACGCGGCCGCCCACCTGTGACCACAGCCCGCGGCGACCCCAGCGGTGCGTACGCCCCCCGCCCCCAGCCTGCTGGGCAAGTCCGCGCGCGCTTCCGGGCGCCCAGCCCCCGGCGCCGGGGATCCCGGCCCCTCGGCACGTGCGCGCCCGCTGCTCCGACCCCGCCCCGCGGCCCCGCACGGGGAGGACGCGAGCTCCGAGCCCGGCTTCCGGGAGAGGGTCCCGGCGCTGGCGCAAGGGGCCGGTACCTCCGCCTGCCCCGCCCCAGAGGCGGCCGCGCGGCCCCACCTTCCAAGCCCTGGGGCGGGGGAGTGCCGGGACGGAAATGCGGGAAACCCGGGAGCCCCGAGGATTTCCAGAGGATGCGCGACCCGTGGGTAGCCCAGCCTTCGTTCGGACCCGGCAACAGGCGTTGGGGGAGAGCTTCGGCGCAAAATATTACCGAGGTACCGCCCCAGATTCTCTAACCTTCCTGGAAGGCCCGTGACTGTCCCTCCTATAATTTATCCGGCGTGTTCATTTTCGTGTTTCCTGGCGAGCCGTCCGTCTCTACTGTAGACCAGCAAGCCTATCTAGTACTGTTGCTCCCGCAGTCTGCATATTTGAAATGAAATTGCCCTAAGATAAGAATCCTCTTTGGGTATTATTTTTGCACAAAATTTAAGACTGTAGGCCCATTACATACTTTCACCATAGAAGGTTTTCTAGTTTTGGGGGATTTTCTAAACAGAAAAAGAAGAAAATCTACAACTCGGACATAATTGGGTTTTATTGATACTCAATTTACATAACACGCTCAAATGCAATTAAGTGAATTCTGCATACATGTTTAGTATTAACTTATAAAGCAACTTTGGTAATTTTCTTTGAGGTATGTTACGAAGTACAAGTTTTAAAGAGACATCACAAAAACACTCCACTTGTCACTTTTATTTTTGTGCATCTAACAGAAAACAAGTTTTCAAGTTTATAATCCAGTAAGTCTTGCTGACAGCCAGACACTTTATAAAATCCTTATCCAAAAACCCCAGATAGGTACACCGGTAGGTACCCCAAGAGGTTTGTTGGGATTCACCCAGAGAAACCCTTTCCCTTTAATCAAGTCAATACTTTAATTTTCTACAGACATCTCAAAAACGGCTTTCACAATCCTGTGTAGCTCTAGTGACTCTGGGAAAAAAGAGTTTTAAACAACAAAATTTTTAAGTTTTGTTAAAACGTTAGAATATATACAAATTACTCCGCACTGTCTTTCTCTTGTTCTAGAGACAATATTTGTATTGGGACATACATGCCTAAAAATTTTTTATGAAAGAGAGAGCCAAAGCTTGTGTCTGACTTACAACTTCAGTCAGTGCACTTATATCAGGACATAATGCCCCCAAAAGTTAATAAAGAACTCAAGTTTGTGTCTGTTTATAACTTACCAACTGAAACAAGCCACACACATGGATGAATAAATGGAGACATACGTGGCTACTGAAAAGTAATCCACAAATTATTTCCAATCAGATGGCTCACTTCCACCATGAAAGAGTGCTAAGCTGGAGAAAGCTTAGTTCAAGTATCATTTGATCTGGCACGAAATGTCCAGATTTTAATGTAATCTTCTGGTTTTTAAAACTCAAGAGTGTGGTTCTTCATTTTGAGTGTTGGAATCCCACACGTTCCCTTTTCTGAAATTGACTCTTCTGCCTTGATGTATGAAGAGGCAAGATAAGCTTACCTCTGAGAGCTACTTAAAGGAACAGCTATTTTTTTCCTAAAGATACAAAATGGCTGAAGAACCTTTCAGATAATAATTATCAACATGCAGATTCAGAAGTTTTGACTATTGAATTTGCATGCTAAAGAAATGAGGGCATTGTAATTTACAGTAAACAAACCTAGAAATGTTACATGCCTGAAAACTGATCTTTCAAAATTAGTAATGATTTAGAGGTTTCTTCTTATATATTGTCTTCTTTAGCATCTTGAATGTACTGCAGCTATGAAAGCAGCCTATTGGACCCAAACTGAGTCTGTACTAACAGATAAACTTAAAGCATCAGACTTCAAACCTCATAGTAAAACGAGGCCATACTAATCACTTCAGTGTCTCATTTTCTTTTTGCATCACAGAAATTCAAACCCAAAATATATTTCATGCTTCACTGGAGAAATTCACAGCTTAGAGTTATGTATAAGTGAAAGAATGGATTCTTAAGGCCATTGGAGACTATCAATGTTAAAAAAATGTTCATATTAGAAGTACCAATAATGAGAAAATACGGAAATGTTCTGACAAGTAAAATCCTTCATCCTCTGGTTTTCTTCAAGATGTTTTCTCTTAGTCCAAAGTATCTCTACAATTTCAGTCCTTAAGTCCTCTCAATAGCCATGCCAGTCTTATTCTTATTTAGCAGATCGAAGGTTTTCTGAAGCATAATGAGTGAGCTCTTCAACTGCAAACAAAATTACTTTTCAAAATCAAGATTGTTTAAATTGTTAATGATTTGTACATCAAAAGTTTATTTACATTTAATAAAACTTTGTTTATACTAATGCCCAAATGAAAGACTGAATATAAAACCCCTTATTCCTTCGGATATCTGTCTGGATGACTGCTATGGACTTCTTCCCATTTGCCGTAGTATGGTACTTCTCCCTACAATGTACTGCTGTGCATTCTTACCTCCCAATAGGTCCATTAATCACATCAGCCAAAGTGAAAGACTTATTTTCTTAAATGGTCTCTGAAATTGTGGGGGCTCTTCACTATCCCCTAAACAATTCAAATTCCACTTCTAGGTCTTTGTTTGCTGCCACACTCAGGTTTGTCTGCACCTGTCACCTTCACTACTCCATCATCATCATCCTGTCCCCAAACTCACAAAGCAATACTACTTAAACACTTAATTTTGTCCTTTTTTATAGTCTTTAAAGCAATGCACATGGGACATCTGATTTTTCTAATAAAATCATAGGCAAGTTGAGAACAAGAATTATGTTTTATCTTTTGCATTCATTCATTCACTCAGATATTTGCTGCTTACCTGTTACATGCTGGGCACTGTGCCAAGCACTGGGTATACGATGGTGAACCAGACCGACAGCATCCATGCCGTCAGGGAGTGTACAGATTAGGGAGGGATACAGAACTATAACAGTACACATTGTATTGCGTTTTGGATTTGATAGTATCATTTTCTGAAATTCAGTCAACTGGAGGAGAGTTAGGTTTGGCTCAGGCTGAAAAAGGAATGCTGTTTTGGACATGATCAGTTCAGGATGCGGGTTAGCATCTAGGTGAAGATGCCAAGTCAGCAAATGACTATAGGAGTCTGGAGCTCAGGCAGGAGGTCAGAGTGAGAGAGACGGATTTGGGTTTCATTGGCAGATGTTATATTCCAAGTTAGACATGTGGAGATCACCTAAACGGAAGTAGAGGAGAAGGGAAGAGAATCTAACACAAAGCCTGGAGCACTGGGTGAGGAAGAGGTCAGGTAGAGGAGATGGCTTTAACCAGCAAAAAGTAGTTTTTCATTATCCTAAGTGAAAGAAGTCCATCTCTAAAGACCACATACTGTCTGAAATGTCCAGAATAGGGCAAACCCATAGAAATAGAGAGTAAATTAGTGATTGTCAGGGCTAAAAGAGTGAGGGACAGGGAGTAACTGCCAATGGGTATGGAGTTTCTTTTAGGGGTGATAAAAATGCTCTGAAATTAGATAATGGTGATGGTTGCACAACATTGTGAATATACTAAAAATTCTTTAAAAGGTGAATTTTTAGCATGTGAATTGTATCACAATAAAGCTAGGGTTTTTTTTCATGGTTTGAAAAAGGCAAGATTAGATGCATTCCAAGAAAGGAATGGTCAGGTCTGTCAAATGCTGACACTGTAACATGAAAACTAAAAAAGTATGTTAATTTTAAAAGCCAGATGTCTCTGGGGACTTTAGGTCAAGCATTATCAGTGAAAGATATGGGGGCCGAGCAAATCAGTAGATTAATAAATAAATGCATCCAATTTTGTCCCCCCCCCCCGCACAACCCCACTAAAAGCATGGTAAAGGGATATTTTTTTAAGGCATAAATCCACAAGGACAGGGAGAACAGAAAATGCAACAACTGCAAACAACTTTGGAAACTGGAGAGCAGATGGGTGACTTGGCAGGCCCAAAAAAAGCTGAATCCTAAGCTAACAGTAGTGGAAGCTGAAAACCAACCAAATTCACACAAAAGACTCCTCAGAAGCTTCAGGAATTGACAGGAATTTCAACATGGAAATAAAGAGGAAGGGCTAAAATAAGAAGGATTGAATGAAACTTAGGGGATCTGACCTCTCCTACTTCCTCAGCAGAAGTCGGAAATGTCATTTCCTGGAGCGGATGAGACAGAGGGTCTCTGGCTATCTGGTGTGTGTGGTGGGTGGTGAGGTGGTGGCAGGGGAGGCATGCCACCTAGACATCATTAAGGACAGTGGCACCATACTAAAAATGGGGGTTATATGACAAAGTAGCATGTACTGAACGTTGAGCCCATCCCCTTGCCCTGCCCTCCTCTGTCACTTGACTTTCACTCAGCTCCTAAAACGCTGGCGACCAGACCTTGATTCTTCAGGTCGGAGACTGGAAGAGTCTTTTGTGGAAGCTGGCCAATCCAAGAGGAAAGGCCTAAAGATACTCTTCAGGATTTCTCAACCAGTAGCCCAGCCAGATCTACAGAGAAG